TGCTCGCCATTCCATCATCTCCTTCGCTTCTTAGCAGTTCCATCAATTCCCTTCTCGATCACCCGACACTCGGCTCGACCCTACGTTACCACTAGCGGTATTACTATTAACCCATTTGGGTGGCATACTCGTTCCCTTCTTTTTACATTCACACATACACAATATTCATTAGGTCATCCATATCACATTATAACTTTATTATCTATATAACATCATATCAGTTTCATTCATAACATACACAGCGAGTCAATCATAATCATCGGTCATCGGACATACCGATTATCGAGAGGCTATCGAAAGGCACCATCCACGTAACTTGGATGTAGTTGGACGAACTCGCTCCGATACCATGTCTATAACACCCCCAACCTAGGACCTAATAAGTTGAGAATATTATCGCCGTTATCCACATTCGAAGTGAAATGAATATAAGCTAACAAGGCACTATGTTCTTATTGTAACGTATGTAAGAATATTTACATGACAAAAATCTTTTAATGACGTTCGAGTCCTATTTCTTACTTCAACTTCGCTATAAATTTTTCACGTTTATTTTTCATGATATTTTATTTTATTTTATTTCATTTTACATGTTTGCTAAACTTCTAATCATGTCAATATGCAGTGGATAATTTAAAGTAATTATACGACTATTACGGTATTATTATTTATTTTTACCGATTCGATTACACACCTTAACTACTTACATACATGATCGATTCTATGTCAACTATTTTATGTAATGGGTTTACCCGAAAACCAAACCCTCATCGAAGCTACATGCATTTGATGCCTCCTCGGTAGTCGGCTTCGTAGAAAAGTGAGCCGTAGTATCTTATTTATCTACACCACAAAGAACTGTATGAGCTACTGACCTAGTAAGTTAACATATGCATGTAGTGTACATATATGTGTATGTATGTATAAGACAACGATATGCAAATGAATCCTTTTTTCTTATGTCATAAAACATTTTATAAACGAGTCCGAAAATCCTTTTCTATCTTTGGACATGTCCCATTTAAGTATTTCGGGATTTTCATCACATATGTCTAGCGAACCGGACCCATCCACGGACACGCCCTACTAAGCCTCTAAAAGTGCATGTCCGCACTTGCCCGACCCCGAGCCATTACCATTACCATATGGAAAACCCATGAAGCCCATCCTCATAAAAATCCTCAAAGTCATGAAAATTCTTTTCTTTAAAATACTTCGATCGTTATTGAAAACTCATAGCATAAAATACGTTTTCATGACTTAAAACATTATTCATGAGCTTTGGCATGCATATGCATTTTGAATGACAATGCATGCTAACAATGATACTTAAGTATATGTCCTAAATGGTCGTGTAACCATGTTATGAAAACACAAATAAAATTGGACAAGCATAACGACATAAATAACATCAATCCGTATCTAACGAGTACAATCGTCATTGGTGCGTCGATTACCATAACCACAATTCTCATTACCAATCCCAACTCAAGCATAACCATCATTCATTAATCATGACATCACATACATTATTGGAAAGAAAATAAAATCATAACACAAGAGTAAGTAAACAATTATATTTCATTAGTTCCATTGATTTACTTTACATTTTAATATTTCCAAGTTATTTCCCTTATGCTCCTAACTACCCTTTTGCATTTAACATTTACCAAATTAGGTACTAATCCATGTTCTAACTTAATTAAGTATTATTCCATTGATTTTGTAGTCCAATTTCGGTTTGGGCCTTAATGAGCGTAAGGTCCGATTTTTCTTAAATCAATTTTTCTTTAGGTTTTCATGAACACTTTTATTCTAAACCATCCTTTTACATTATCTTGAGCATGAATGAACTAATTTAGGGTATGAAACTTAAAGAATGACTTTTAAGTGATCGATGAATTACATGGGCAGAGACACCTATATGAGAGGTCGTGTAACTCTCTGTCTTAAAAAAACACATTTCTTCATTACATGGGCAAGGACACACCGTGTGGGTGGCCATGTAACTCTCTACCTTCAAGAAAAACACATTTCTTTATTTCACGGGTAAGGACACACCCGTGTAACTCTCTGGCTTCAAGAAAACACATTTCTTCATTACACATTTTCTTCAATTTTTAGTAAATTTTCCATTTCTACTCATCAAAACATGCTTATTCAAGTGTGAATGACCCATCAAACCAGAATCAATTTGCTTTGAACTCAACCTTTAATTTGCTTAGATTAGGTCAAATATAATTTCTAACAATTAGTGGATTTTTCTTCAATTAAAGTTTAATTTTTCATTTCTAAACATTAATTCATACTAAAATAAGTCAAAATCAAGTGCCAAAACACTAATTAAATGAAAGAATTCAAAACCCTCAAATTTGGTTCATTAAGAACCCTAACCCTAATTTTTATCAATTGAGCAATTAAATCAAATCAAGCAATTAAACATGAAATTGACTTGAAATTAAGCATGCTTATGGTGTAGGTGAGGTTAACTTACTTGTTTGAGCTCCAATTAGACTCTAAAAAGGTAGATTGGTGAAAGATTTCTCCTCCTCCTCTTTTCCCCCGAATTTTTGAATTTGATCTTTGAATTTTTTTTCCTTGAGATTTTCGGCTTCCCACTTAAAATTCAAGCTTCTTCCATCGATTAAAGATGGATAGAATTTATTAAAAATGATTTGGGTGATTTTTAAGTGAAAATTTTGTAAGAGTTTCCTTTGTGTTTTTCAATTTTTCATCTCCTTTTTATTTTTCCAGCACCCTATTTATATGAAATTTTTTGAATCATTGACCCCATCTCCACCCTTAATGTGGGAAAATATCAGCCCTTAATTCAATATCTAATCATTCATTTGCATTTGTCCCGATTTTTAACCATTTATTCACCTTTTTATTTAACCCTTTCCACCTTGCTTATTTTTTGCTATAATTTTTACTGGAAGTCAGACTTAATTAATGCTCTAGGTCGACCAAATTTGAGAGGAAAATAACAAATTTTGGTCCTTCAAGTTTCTAGACTTTTCCATAGCCCATTCTTTCCTAAGTCCCTCTTTTATGAAAAAAAACTCACTTCTAATCCTTTATTTTTAGTTTTTAGGACTAAATTTTAACCCTTAACATTCTCACATAATTTAATTTGGATTATTACACTTTTAATTTTATGCAATCGAGTCCCTAATTTTATGCAATTTAGTCCCTACTTTTAAAATCCCATTCTATACTTTTCAAAAATAAAATTTCTTTCTAGAATAAATTAAAAAATTCATTGAGGGAGTTTGATTTAAATTTGCATAATTGTTTGCCCTAATTTGAGCCTTCAATTTATTTATTTAGTGTGAAAATTACACTATTTCCTATAAAAAAATATTCCCTATACTTACTAAAATTAATTTAAATTTTCTAGGCTCTTTCACACATCCTATATGATTATTTTATGCTCTTAAAAAATTTCTCATACTCATAAGGTGCATAATTAAATTCTTTACCTCTAAAAACATTATTCCTACACTTAGAAAATTCAATGAAATATTCACCATATGTAGAAAAATTCATAAAATCATATAAAATAATCTAACACCCTTCTAACAATTATTCTAAATAAAAAGATATTTTTCATGCACAAACAACATGCTTCAATTAATTTTCTCATACAATAACTACTATTCATGTACCGAAAAATCACTAAAATATTTTTGAAACATGAAAAACTATTTTGACCTTTCTAAATATTCTTTTAGGTTTCTAATAATTATTTCTCGTTCTCAAAAATATTTATTTATTTATTTTCACACGATTTTAATATTAAACTTTTATTACATTTTTATTTTAGCGAGTACTGTGCATTACATAACCTACAAATAAAAGTATATACACATAGACCGAGCAGGTAGTGATACTAATAGACGTTCAACTTTAGGTTGCTGCACCTTTATCTAAGGAAATCTTGTCACTTGGTGAAGAAACAAAGTATCGTGGCTCAAAATAGCACTGAGACAGAGTTTAGATCTTTTGCACATGGAATTTGTGAGGTAATGTGGATAAAGAGACTATTATAAGATTTGAAGATTTTGGTTTCTTCTCCTACAAAAGTTTATTATGAGAATAAAGCTATCATTTCGACTTCTCACAATGTAGTTCTACATGATAGAACAAAGCATATCGAAGTTGACAAGCATTTCGTCGAGGAAAAGATTGAAAGTGGCCTAATCTGCATTCCTTACATGCCAACCGCTCAACGAATGGCCGACATACTCACCAAAGGATTAAAAAGACAATTTGAACCATAAGTCAGCAAGCTAGCTATGGAAAATATCTACGAGCCAGCTTGAGAGAGAGTGTTGGAGGATATTCAATGTAAATAGAGGATATTTAAAACTAGAATTAAGGAAATTAGAATGATTTGATTTAGTTACCTAGTTTCTGGTTCCAATTGCTGGTTTCCTAGAATAGTTTTCTATAAAGCTGTTAGTTTCCTAGAATCACCTCTTGTATGCCTATTTATTTATTTTTACATTTGCATTGATTCCAATATACGGCAATACAATAGAATTATTCACCATATTTGCTCTCACTATAATACCTCCCTTGCATAGAAGTTGCAGCATCATTTTACAGTTCACTGGATTTTCTTGGTTTCAATTTTTCCCAAGGTCGTGTTTCCAACGCTGGCTCTAAAGGCACCCTTGCTCACTTTTATAGAAACTGAATATTTTGACTCTCCATGGTAGTGTAAAACAGAGGACCCTTGAATCCTTATTGATAGTTTTGATCCTAACCCACTTCAGATGAAACTCTGCGTTGGCCTACGGTTGATATTATTAATTAGCACAAGTTGCATGTAAGAAAGAAAATCTTTCATTACAAACGAAGGCACACAGCCCAGGGAGCAATAAATTTACTCTTGGGATCCGGGAACGATAAAAGCAGTAAGACTTGAATGGCCTTTTCTCCCTGCAAAATTATTGACACCAATTCAGTTGATAAGGCTATCTATCTAGCATCTATTACTGTGAAACATCAACATCCAAACAGGCGTACGAAACAGCACAGTTAAGGCTCGCTAGTGAATTATTACTGATCACGCATATAATGCACTGCCACCCCATCTTCCCAGATGCCAGAGCCTGAGGCTGTAACCCCACACACCAGGCTCCCAGTGGTCCTGCTGAGACTATGACAAAACTATCCACATGATTAATAGAAGTACATCATTCACGCAAGAACTTGTAATTGCAACGCTTTTAAAACTTCCAAGTAGTACCGTCCTTTTCTTTTTCTTACCTACAATAATTGGATTCCAAACATTTGTACACAATTTCCACTAGCTGATCATCCACTAACACCCAACAGAAAGAAGAAAAGCATAAAATGCTTGCTCCATGCTGCTTTGGAATATTTATATCCTACTTCCAAATTTTAACACTTTTATCGACTGTTCTGGGATATTACCTCACCAAACTTTAGGAAGAGTTGGGCATCTGAAGTGCTCATGGAGGGACAATTCAAAATGTGTGGAGTCTTGATATTTGCGTACTCATCCATGTAGCAAGGGATTTTAGCAGATGGGAGTGGGGCAGGTGGAGCTGGGGTGCATTGTTTCGGTGGTGTGATGGGTGGCACAAGGCTCCCCAGGACACGAGTCACTTCATGCATAGTCGGCCGGTCTGTTGGCTGTCTCTTGGTGCATAGTAGGGCAAGTTGAAAAACCTTCTTTACTGCTCCAAGATCTTTGCATGTGGCGGTGATCTCAGGATCAACAGTTTCCATGACCGCATTGTTAGCTGTCTTGGACAGTATCTGATACAGATAAGCAACTAAAATGTCAGAGAAATTACCATATATTTATTTTCAAACATAGTAATGCAATAAGCTCGATTTACAGTTTTAACAGGATGAATGAGCAGGACATCAAATTAAGAATGTGGTTAAGAGGGGAAAAAAACACAAGCTCGAACATGCACGTCTCCCAACTCCTGAGGACTGATAAATACAGTATCATTTCTTTTGTGACAAGCTTCTGCTCCATGCAAAGACATCATTCTATGTCAAACTAGAAATTGAAAACTAACACATGACTTGCCTTTGCACTTCCTCCACTGTAGGTCAGAAGATACCAAATAAAGGAATAAAAAAGACGGACGGAAGACAAACCAGATGATGAAGATTGCATTCGTTGTCAACTGCTTTCCTTCCAGTTAGCAACTCAAGTAGAACAATCCCATAACTATACACATCAGACTTTTCAGTGAGATGGGTAGTGCGGGCATACTCAGGGTCTATGTAACCAATTGTTCCCAATATGTATGTAGAAGTATAGGATTTTGACACGCATAAGCGCTTGGCAATCCCAAAATCAGTGAGATGGGCCTCGAAATCTTTGTCCAGTAGAATGTTCGATGACTTCACATCCCTGTGAATGATGCGAGGACTACAATCATGGTGTAGATATGCTAATCCTTGAGCTGCTCCAAGTGCTACCTGGAGGCGTGTATCCCAGTCAAGCTTTTTCTTCCTCGTAGGGCCTGAAAAACAAACAGTACTTACAAACATCAGAATATAAAAGAAAATTCATGTACGCATGCATGGAGAGAACCCTGTTGTGAATAAACTTGAACTTACCATGAAGAAAATCCCAGAGACTGCCATTTTCCATATAATCATAGAAAAGAAGGTTCCCAGAAGGTGACAGGGAGTATCCTTGAAGGCTGACCAGATTCCGATGCTTGATGCTCCCTACTGTCTCCAACTCGGTCTCAAATTCCTTCAAGCACTGGGGATAATGAGAATAGAGCCTCTTAATAGCCACTGGCCTGCAATTCTTCAGGACGCATTTGTAAACTGTGCTTGACGCACCATGACCAATTATATACTTCTCGCTCAAATTCTCAGTCATCCTCATAATATCCTCATACACATGGAGCGCCATATTCATGTTAAGGATCACCAACTTTGGTGTTGAGTAATTAACTGTTTGTCCAACAAACCCACAAGAGTTAGCAACCAGACATAATTTTCAATTGCAGGACGATCATAATTTTAAATCACAAGTAGATTTTGTGCAAAAAAAAAAAAAAAAAACTGTATGCTGATTGCATTTGTTTATTTTATTCTTTTCTAATCTATGTTGCTAATTTCTTCACACCTCAAAATTATCTCCAAAAGCAAGATGATTAAGAAGGTTTAGATATGTCAGTTTAAACTTGAGGAACATTCAATTTCCTTTAATGGGACTCAGCAGATTTCAGACTGACAAAACTCCACCATAGTTAAAAATCATCAAATATAGTTTGCATACTATGATAAGAGAGAGAGAAAATGCCTGGTTTGTCAAGTGATCCATCTGGGAAGGGTACTGGATTATGAGGCCGACATGCTGCTACTAAGATCATGAGAAGAATTACAAGGGCACCAAGAGCAATCCCCAGTATTGCTGCTTTAGAAATTGTGGCTGCATCGAAAACCAAAAAATAATAATAATGAAACCCATTCCTCTGATGGAGTAACTCAGAATCTTCCAATATGAAGATGATTTCATGCTTAGAAGGAAACTCTTGCCTTTTTCCTAGATAATGAAAGCTACAAATACATTGAAATACATTTCCCATATAAACTGATCGGGAATCAGGACGATAATTGCAGAGAAAAGGTAATGCCATCAAAAGTTAAATCTTACACTCAGTATTTTGGTACCAAGTGTTATTCCCAATATGGTACAAGGCTACAAGCAATAGCTGGTCTAGGACTCACATCAAGTCCCAGTCAAATTCTAGTACTTTACCTAGTAGCACTATTGTGGGGAATAACATTGGATGGTTACTTCTAATACATGAAATTAAAGACACTTGTCTAACTCAAGGTTACTAGCGCCGAGACAAACTGTATATATGAATACCTCGCTCTGCTGGATGGGAATCGTGGCACAGAGAGCTGAGCCAATAGCCACAAAGACCAGGATTTCCAATGAAACTGCCACAGAAGGTTACATCAGTTAAATGTGAGCATTGAAATGTTAATTAGAACATGTTAATAGTAAAAATTGAATAAATTCAAGCTTTGAATTCAGGCAATGCCTGTTGATTTCTGAAAAGAATTATGATGCAATCTAAAAAAATGTCCGTTAAAATTTTGATAAGTATGCAGTCAGATATTCTAACCTGTCAGGTGTAAACCTTGAAAAGTTGTTGCTTGTAGGAATAACACCAGCTAGGTTGTTATAAGATACATTTCTGCATGGGTGCAGCAAGACAAGTTTAGGGAAGTTAATATTTGAATTATGCCACCGTAAAGCACAATAAAGGTCAAGCATCATTCAGAAGAAAGTAAAAGTTTTATGGTAAACTTACAAGACACTTAGACTGAGGCAGTTGATTAGAGACATCACATCACCTGAGAGATTATTTTTTTCCAGTCTCCTGCATTTTATGAATCAAATTTTAACCAACATCATCAGCAAAAATGACATCAAACCATCATATAACTCTAGCTTACAAGTGCATTAAAGGGGTGTTGGCTGTAGTGCTGAAAAATATGTTAAGACAATGCCAATGCCATCAGCATATAAATTTCTTTCAGTGACTATGGCAGTTACAAAAACTTACAACAAAAACAAGTTTTGAAGTTGACTTAATTCCTGAGGAATCGATCTTGAGAGATGATTATCTGAAAGATCACTACAACAAAAAATTATGAAACATAATTAGAACGGGCTATTGGAATTTCAATTTATTTAAAACAGCAACACACAATCATTCCTTACATCTCCATAACACTTCTCAGGTTTCCAAACTCTGCTGGAATAAATCCTATTAGTTGGTTTCTACTAAGATTACTGCACAACCAGCAAGTGTCAGCAAGAAGAAAAGTTTAAGATGCTGAAATTATTTAGCACTGAACTCAAAGCTTCAAGATTGGAAAAGAAAAAAACTCACAGCTTTAGAAGATGCTCCAAGTCACCAAGGGAAGAAGGAATGGATCCACTAATTCTGTTATTGGAAATGTCCCTGAGCAAGATTGATCAGGTTAGGGGAGAAGTACTCAGTTATAGAAGTAGAAGACATAAGAAGGAAATTTTAGGAACAATCAATACTTACAAAGTATCCAAATTACCAATTCGAGATAATTCAATTGGAATAGGACCTTTAATATTGTTGCTAGAGAGATTCCTGAGGAAGGTCAGGAAACAAAATGATGTGAAATTCTGTTAACTTTGGGAATGCATTCACTCAATAAGAAATATTAATGAGTGATGTAAAACTAATGAAATCAAAAAGAAACCAGCATCATCAAACATTCATCACAAAGTTTCACAATTAAGACCCCACTCACAGGTATGTCATACTCTCAAGCCTTTGCAACGCACGTGGAATCGTTCCATTCAGCTTGTTTCCATGCACATTGCTGACATCAAATGAAATGGTCAAGAGCCATCTTAAAATGGCTAAACCTTAAGAGTGTCAGAAATGATACAAAATGCTTACAGGCTGTTGAGATTTGTGCATGAGCTAAGATTATCAGGAATAGGCCCTTCAAGCTGGTTGTTGGCAACATTTCTGGAAGAACATCACACTGGTTAGTATAATATATAAAAAAATAATAAGAAAAGACGCTCAAGGATATCAGAGCATACAGATCAAATAAATCAGTGAGCTTTCCAAGCTCTGGTGGGATGTGCCCTGTGAGTTGATTATCGTTCAATTCCCTGGTAAAAGCCAAGAAGCACTTAAGAGAGATATATTTTGCACATTCATCACGAGCAGATCATAATGAACAGCTAAGAATGCAGAAAAGGAAAGGAGAGAATTTTCATATCATTCACTAGGATTGCACTTGCAATCTCCTGAATACTTTTGTTCATCAATCTGGGTAAGCAAATCCAATATAGTGTAATGACAACTAAACAGTATAATGAGAACGAAGAAGCTTCAGAACCATGCTTGTAATAAGTTTCACTAACAATATGCTGGCGACACTCTAAGATGGGCATACAACTCTAAAAGAAGATCATTTGTGCTGTAGCATTGGAAGCAGACCAAGGAAAGTGGCAGCTAAGAGTTCGTACAGGTAATGAAGCTTTGTCATATTCCCAAGCTCAGGGGGATGGATCCAGTCAGCTGGTTACCATGCAAATACCTACAAAATTAGCCAACTCAAATCAATATATAGCATTCAACATGTAGTGAGGGAACAAGCAGCACGGTAGACACAAGTAAAATAATTGGTCATGATAGGAAGTTGATGACATTTCTGTATCACAATAATTTTTTTCATTGCAACTTAACATCATAGACACATGCAACGTAATGGCAACTGCTTCCATCACGTCCCATCTTTAATGTTGGAGTAACAACTAGAAATCATAAATACAAGAACAGCAAGGACATACTTACAATTTCTCCGTGTAGGTTAAATTTCCCAAAATAGGAGGGATCGGTCCAGTTAGCATGTTGCTGCTTAAATCTCTGTTTTTTTTTTTAACACAAGAAAAAACGACAACGAAAGATGAACAATTGTTCAGAAAAAAAATGGAAGGGATAACTAGAAGAAACAAAAATAAATGACAATGGAAAAAAATCCAGAAGGCTTGACTTATTGATTTTTAAACTCAGAATCCTTCGAAGTGTCAGGAAAAAGCAAATAAATAGCACTTACAATACAGCAAGTGCCTGCATCAGACCAATCACTGATGGAATCTTCCCCGTCAATCGATTACCTTGCAATGATCTAGCATCACAACCAGTTGCAAGAACAGTTAATAAACTGGAAATCATGCCATCAAAAATCAAGCCGTTAACCAAATACAAGTACGTTGCAACCACATACAATGTAGCTATTTGCAAAAATCCAATGTTGAATGGAATCTCTCCTGTTAGCTGGTTGTATGACAAGTCCCTACCAAATAAAAGGAAAAGCATATAACTCTCAAATAACCAAAGAAAGCACCAGAAGATTCAGTTCATTGAGTTGGATAAAGCACATACAAGACCTGAAAGGCAGTACAGTTGCCTATATTCTCGGGAATTTTGCCAGTCAAACTGTTGTTTTTTACATCACTACAATAATAGGAGGAACCAAGTTAGGTGACACGCTGAAAGCTACAATGAGTCTTGTTTTAGTAATGTGAGAGCAATAAATACTAAGAAAACTTACAAGAACCACAGCCCAGTTAACTGGCACATATCAGGAGAGAGAGTGCCCAACAAATTGTTTCCTCGCAAACCACTAAAAAAATGTGGACCATCAAGATTTATGCGACAATATCATAAGATGGATTAATATATTCTGAAAATATTTCAACAGACAACAGAGGAAATTTCAAACAACATCAAATGTTGTACTCACAGATACTGCAAAACTTCATTCCAGTAAAGAAGTCTTGGTATTTCCCCACTGAGTCTATTCTGTGCCAGGTCTCTGGAACCAGTAATTTGGAATGTATCAGGTTTAGGTAGTTTCATCATTAGAATAGGAAAACAAAATCGAGGAAAGAAATCTTACAAAATTTTTAAGTTTGGAATCTGTGACAGAGTAGATGGAATTGGTCCAATCAATTGATTATTTTTCAAGACTCTGAAAATCCATGCAATAGCAAAATTCAGATTCCAACAATAGAGAGATTCGGCAGTTGAAGTAACAAAAACAGGCAAGCTTGAAAAGCTACTTACAGTACTTCAAGTTGCTTCAACTTGGAAATTGAAAATGGTATATCTCCATAAATGTCATTAAACGATAGGTCCCTGGTAACACCATGCAATCAATATTAAACTGAGAATACAAATGGCAAGCATATCTTAAGTAATATCTTTAAGTCATTCAGATACTAAACTTACAAGTTCCGTAGAGAAGAGCAGTCACCAATCTCATCAGGTATCTGGCCAGAGAGACGATTTCCTCTGAGATCACTGATCAAAGTAGACACTATAAAATCAGTGTTGAGTCAAGTTCGCACTCATAAGCACCAAATTTGCTTACTCCATTTCTTTGAATTGGAGACTGGAGAGAAAATTTCAAAAGAAAAGAAAATGATTTGAAATATATGTTTCTTCCAATATAGCAAATCACTTCCTTGATAGATTTTCCATACGAAGATTTTGAGGGAAACAAATGGAGGCTTTGCATAAAAGCACAACAAAAGAAAAACTACAAAATAGAGAAACAGTATTGAGGAACAGTACATGGACGTCAGGTCCTTGAGATTTCCAATTGCAGGTGAAATCTCCCCATCAAGATTCAAACCTGACAGATTACTACAACAACAGAACAGGCCAAACATGAATAAAAAAAGATGAGATTTCTTCTAAAAACGCACTGTAACTAACCACTACTAAGAATGACAATAGCTTTCATGGGGACAAGAAAACAAACTAACAGTGCAATGACATTGAAGGTGATATTATCGCAAATGACCCCTCTCCAAACGCAATAATCTGACGCTGGAGATTCTGTCCAGTCATATAAAACATTATCCACGTCCCTGAATGACTTCTTTATCTCCAATAATGTAGCTCCTTCAATAACTCAACAAATAGAATCAAAAGTATCAATGTCGATATACAGAACAAGAAATACACATCACATACTACAAAACCGATGACGCCCTGAAAATGCTTAACCCTGGTTTTTGGAAGAAAAAAGAACCAATCTTTGACATTAAAACTCAGACTTCGACAATAGAAACTAAACGAACTCGCTATCAAAGCCTTGATATTGAGGAAAAACGATGCCACCAAGTGAGTGAATTTTAAAAAGAATAAAATTCCAAAAAAGAGAAGTGGCACCTTGTCCACAAGAACAACTGTATCATTAAAATAAGGCTCTCTAGCTGGCATAAACAATTACACAATAGAGTAGAAGCTTAAAATAATAACAAAGCAGTGTACTTTGGTTTCAAAAAACAACTGAAATAGGAACGCAGGTTCAACTACTTTCTGCCTTACTTTCTATATATGCCAAGCAACCAAACAGAACAAGGCTCACCGTCATCAGAATGCGCAGAATCAACAACTAAAGAGAGAAGAAGAACCAAAAGGACAAATTCCAAACGAAATGCCATCACCTCACTGCTCTTCCACCAAAAGATTAAAAAGAAGAAAAAAAAAAAAAAACAAATTTTGTTCGCTCAAAGCCAACTATCATTCAAAGAAACCCCTCCTCCAAACTTAACGACTCCTGACAGAAAAAATAATCATTCCTGTCACTTAACCCTTTTGAGCTCTCATTGAGAAGAAGTCACCGACAATGAAATGAATGTGAGGATTCTAGAGAAAGAGAAGGGTTTATGCAAATGGGGTTATGATTTTCTTTCTGAATAATTTTTTTCTTATGGGGTTTAAGTAATGTAGTTATAGCATGACTAGCTCTGACTCAAGTTTGACTCGGCTTTATATCGTTCCATCACATCGTTCTGGCAACACAATAAGTCTCTCTATATCTCTCTCTAAGATAAACAGCAGATTAATTGATACAACCGTGAAAGAGAGAAATATAAAGAGAAACAAACAGGTGGCTCCTATATAGATAGATAGAGAGAGAGCAAGGAAGAGAGAATTATTTGATAGATAAAGTTAAAATATATACTCTCTTACTGCCAGAGACCTCTGCTATAAAACCTGCAACTTTCTCAGAGTCCCTTTCGCTCTCTCTATCTCTCTCTTCTATAACTGAACAGGGCTATTGGGTGTGTATCATTTTATAATGGTAACCAATGCCATTGTGAATAATAACAGGTCGTTTTCTCTTTTCTCTCTGGTTTATGCAACGAGGCTTTGTAACCTTGTGGCATATGCAGAGATAGAGAAAGGGATGTGTAAGGTAATGTAATTACTATAATTGTATTTAGAGGAGACAGAAAAATACATCTCCACTTTCTGTTGCAGAGATTAGTTGCCTAAAATGGGGTTTGTGTGTTATATTTGTAAGGTGGTGACCACTCATCTTTTCTTATAGTAATTACTACTGTTTTTTTCAACTCTGGAGTCGTTAAGGGGCAATTTTCCAGGTTTGGACTGGCCTAGAAACCAAAATCATCTCCGTAGTGTAAACTGTAAACCATGGTTAACAGCACCATCCTTCGAAACCAATTTAACTAATTACTTTCCAGTTTTCACTGCACTTGTTTCGTGGGATTAGTCTTAAAGTATTCTACAAAAAAATTTATCAACTTCTTAAGAACATAATGCTTAAGGATACGACTGTATTGTTGCAACAATTTATGTATCGTTTTGGATACTTACTACATTTTCATCCATCCAATATCATAACTGCTGTACTTGTGCTTGGTAAAATATATATTATAGCATCAAATTTACTACTTGTAACATTTTTTTCTAGTCAATAAAAGAAAAGAGACCATATTCTATCTTCTAAAGGTTAAAAAAGCATATATGAAATGCTTATTTAAAAATAATAATAAACATGATTTTGCATTTTTTCGCTTTGCATAATGCTTTCTCAATCGAACCATTTTCTTATCACGGTTCGGGCAAAAGCAACAATCACTTTAATGTCTAACAGGAGCTAAAGTCCTGTTTGGAGTTGAGACAGGTTGCTCTTAAACTTCAAATTCCATAATTGATGTTTGGTTATTGAAAATTTTGGTATGAAATCTATATATAAATTATATGTTTAAAAAGGTAAAACTAAGATTAGATAAAAAAATATTATATAAATTAGCTATATAACCTAAAATATATAGTATAATTTTAAATCATCTCAATATAAACATAATTTAAGATATACATTTAACTGAACACTTCTTCTTCTTCTTTTTTCTTTTTTTCCCATCATTCTGAAAGCTCCATCCCTCTAGAACCTTTAACGCTATTGCTATAATCTAATTCAAACACATACTGTATTGTTTAAGATGTATTTCCATGGTTTTATAGATTCAAATCCATCAATGCAGATGGAAGTGCCATTATTATGAAAATAATTAACAAGCTTGTTTCTTTTTCATCATACATCCTGAACTTACCCCAATTCTTCAATCAAGCCAAAATTCACATGAGAAACAAAATTGTTCAATACGTGGTCAGTCCTTATTAACAGGAGCGAAGAAAGAGTTTTTCTATATGCAAGAGAACTACCGGCGAGGAAATGGTAACTAGGCGATTCCCTAATTATCAGTAATTTGACCATGGTGGAAAAAAAAAAAAAAAACATTGGTAAATGAGATGGAAAGTGACAGCCAAAAGGAAAATCTGCAAAAACTGCAACTTAGTGGGACCCCAACACATATAGCAGTACTTCTGATTTTAACTTTCGCATACGAGAGAGAAAGCAAAGGAAAGGAAAGGAAAGGAAAGTTTTACCCTCCCATTTCTCTCCTTTTTTCACCTCGGGAAGGTCACTTGTCCCGTCCATGCTCAGACTCTCTGACACCCTACTTTGATTATCATGTGGGTCCTTTTCTGATGCCTCCATAACGCCGTTAACGTTCCTGTCTAAAGTCATTTTCACCGATTTTGCGCCTGTTTTCCTTATCTTTATCAACAAGATGAAGGCTAATACAAACTACTCCTTACTTATGATGGTGAATTTTAGATCAATCCCCAAACCGTGGATTTAGTGATTCATACCATCTAGCTATCATTGCTCTAACCATTTGTCCGAGGATTCATGTATGGTAGATTTGGTTAATTTTCACATTAATAGTCACCGTTTAACTTAACTAATGAATTTAGAACACGTGGTTCATGATAATAGATGGTGATCTTTCTTAGAATGTGGACAGAAATCTCCTTGCGATGTGTCACTCTAAAATAAGTCTCTTTGGTTGGGTTGGGAACCTTCTAAAGGTGGTAAATTGACCTAAAAAAATTATTGTATGTTAGTATGTACTGGTTTATATATAATTTAGGAAAAGTATAGGAGAGACATGAAATGGACCTGTTTAGAAAGCAATTTAAAAACTTATTTGTAGTTCTTACGATAAAAAGTATGGCTTGTATATAGAAGGAGTATTACATGAATATTATCATTTTCTTTTAAGAGTTTCTCTCGTATGTGTAGAAGCACTTAAGTGCCGGCTTTTCTCTAAATCTTCTTCTTGTTGTTTTTTCTTGATCATCATCTTTTATATATATAGGCAGTAGTGGAAGTTTCTTGTATATTTGAAAGAGTAAGAATGTATATTCTCTCTTAAAATTAATAAAGGAGTTGATAAGTATTGGTGTTTTGCCATCATTGTATTTGATTTTTTTACTACATTAAGCCGACTATGATGAGTGATGATCCGATTGATGACATTATTAAAGATTTTTTATTTAATATTTTATCTTCGGATGATGGTAGAGGAGCAACATCTTTCTCTTCCAAAACGAAGCCTCTAAAGTAAGAAAATCGCAAAGTCTTCCTCTAGGAGGATGCCCATTGTGTTCTTTAAATGTTTTAGGCTCATTTGACGAGCTATTTTTAAAAAAAGTTATGAGCTTTGATTAAGCATGACGAGTTTTGGAGTTAAAAGCCATGGGGCCCTTTTTGTTGGGTTGTGCTAAAAAAAGACTCTTGATCATTAGTCCCTTCAAGTCTTGGCTAGTTTGTTTGGCTTAGACTTGAAAACTATTAGTTAGGTACTTCGGATGGTGCGTTCTCTAGTTAAGGGTGACTATTAGTGTTCTAGTTGTTATTTTGGCTTGACATTGATTGGTTAGCAATCCTTTCTTTATGAGTCTAGGTGTCTTAAGTTTAGTCGTTTTGAGTGAGAGAAGGGCAAGCATTTGCATGTTTAATGCCTTTATTACGGTGTAAGACTATGTTTTTTATGTTTCTCATAAGAATAATAATTGCCTTTATTAAAGGCTTACACCTCGAATTTTACCTTATGTAGTGTTGTCACATCAAGCATGAGATAATCTCTTAAATTTGAAGTGTCCTAATTGAAGAAAGAGTCCTTCATTTACATATATACAAGTCTTACTTGTTAGAGTCTTTCTTTTGCCTTTAAGTGCTTTAAGTTTTTTTTATGGGATATTTTTAACACATCATTTAAGTTTTATACAAAAAAAAAATCTTTTTTTTTCTTCACTTCTATGTGACCCTTTTTCATGAGGATTTTTTTTTTTTAATGGAGTACTTTATCATTTTAGATTACGATTATAAGGTAACTTTTGCTCTTTTTTTTTTTTTCTTTTTTCATTTACATGGATAGAAAAATGATTGACTTAGAGAGGGTTAGGAGTATATCTAGGGATGTTTCTTGTAAAGTTGTGAGGATGGATACTAATTTCGATGTTGGTAAGTCTTCCGAAAGAAAGACTTTTTTATTGTAGGAGTCGAAGTTATATGTTTAGCGTGAGAATGACTACCTATGTTTGTTTGTTAAGGGAGATTTTTTTTTCATGTTCGGCCTATCTTAGTAATAGGATGAACAAACTCTTTTTGGCATAGTTAAAAGGAATTTGAAAATTGTTATCTCTATTTACATGCTAAAGTGTGATTTCATGTTTCTACTAGCTAGGTTCATAATGGAGGTGCTTTACCACTTTCGCCTAAGTGTGAGTAAAATTCACCTAAACAGAGTTGAACATTATGCTTATTTTTGACTTTTTCTATCAATTTCTTAGGATGATCCCAACTCGTAGGCTTTTTAGATTCTCTCATCGCTCGACTCGTATAAGTGTTGCATTTGAAAAAATAAAACCTCGGGTATATAACTTTATGGCCTATGCTCGAGAGCCTATTAAAGGATGTGTTTATAAGAGCTCTCGAATTGATGAGAGATTACAAAAAAGAGTTGTTCATTTCTTGTTATTGTGGATTAGCTTTTTAGGATAACAATTGGAGCATTTAGAGGTGTTCCTCTTTATAGAGGTTTCTTCGAGCTAATCCCGATACCTTACCTCTTTAGTTTAATAATGAATTAGCTTTTTAGGACTTAGTAAAGAGTAAATAAAAGAGGTATATGGTTAATATATTGGTCAAAAGGTGATCCTTGATCCGTAGCTAGTTGGGTAGACATATAGACCTTTTAGTTTGCTTTTATTTGTTTTTGTACCTTCACTTTTTAGTGTATGATATTCTTTATGCTTGTAGTAGACTTGTCGCTCGAAAGACATAGTGATCCTAGCTAATTTTTTTATGAAGCTTCATCTACCACATGTTGATGGGGATGTTATCAAAGATAGTGATCCACTTTTAGTGTCGGTCCCTTCTTTTAGATGAAGCCTCTTGCGAGGCTACTTGTTGGGAGTGTAGGTGTGTGATTGGCTAAGAGGCATGAAGTAGTTGATGGTGTTACAAACGTATGGATTTTTTATACGTTTTTAAAATAAGGTTGATCTTTTTATTACTAAGACAATCGTGCCTCTGCTCGGTGATCTTCAGCACGAGGCTTTTTTTAAGCCACGAAAGGCTCCAAAAAGGTAATAGTCGCCTCTACTTCTATTTTTCATCATAAAGGCAAAGATGATAGAGTTCTTGTAGCTAAGATGGGCTTTTCTCCTCGCTTAGTGCATAAGGAATGGAGTCGTTAAAACTTCCATGCCTAAGCCAACCTCGAAGTGTCCTCTTACTTTCTCTTTTTTAAAAAAATAACTCTATCTCTGATCGAAGCTATTTAACAATGTTGTTTTCCTATAAGAAGAAGAAGGTGAGAGATTTTTGGTATTTTGAGGGATATTTGTATGTTTTTATTTACATAGGGCCTTGGGTTGATGGCTCTTTCGCTAGAGAGATGAAATAAGCCATACAACTTTATCTTTCCGTAAATGTATGTGCTCTTGCTTTTCTTCTACTCTTGTAGTTTCTTTTAGGTAATGCTAACTTGTGTTTTTTTTTTTTTTTTTTACAATCTTTATAAGTACAAGCGTATTTTTTTTCATATAAAAAAGACCACCACAAAAAGAAAACGGCAAATGAGTGACGATCTAGACCATCGTTGATTCTTAAAGAACCATCGCCCAATAAAATTAGAGATGCTTTTACGACGATTTGAAAACCCTTGCCAAAAAGCTTGTCGCTAATTTTTAGCAATGGTTTTTTATGTTCGTTGCTAATTTAGCCATTGAAAAAAAAACCATCACTAATTTAATTAAAACTCGTTGTAAATTTTCAAAAAATAAAATATAGCTGAACTTCAAAAATTAGCGACGATTTATGAAACCGTCGTTAAATTTTTTTTTAAAAAAATTTACCTAAATTTTAATTGTTTTAAATTAACCTACTCCAGTTTAAAAACTAAAAATATATATTAGAAAATTATTATAATATATATATATATATATATATATATATATATATATATATATATATATATTTTCAAAAAAATTAATAAAATTAAATTATTTCCATAAAAAATAATTGAAACTAAAATATCTTTTTTTATTCTACTAATATCATCATATCTAATATTTTTCTAGTAAACAAATTACGTATAATGAGATGGTGAGTCGATACATGCTTTAATCTCATTTACTTGAGGTAGTATGTTAACCAAGAATATAAAACCATATCACGAGTCTCAATTATAAAGCGTATTTGAAACTTTATAGATCAAAGTATTTTTGAAAAAGAAAAGCTAGTATCATATGTATGAAATGAAAATCAATGGGCAAAGGTATACTCGCACACACCAATATTATATATACATATATGCTTGCCTAAAATCAACCTTGCATGTATAGTTACATCACAAATATATGAATATATTTTTTGGTTTGCTTACAAAGGAAATGCTGCAATTAAAAACCTTGATCAAATTCAAGTGATCGATAGTGAATTAAGAAAGTGATGACCATTGCTTTAGTAATGTTACGTAAAGCTAACGAATTTGATTCTTCATCCTTAAACTCGTAAGGAATATGTTAATTAAATAATTAGAAATGGAAAACATCGAAGTGTGGGAAGAAATTAATAGCATGAACATAATGAAAATTACAAAATAAGACGATCATGATTTAATTTATTCACCTACAATGAGCAATCACTACAACTATAATTTCAACAAAGAAACGCCTACAAAAGCAACCGGAGCTTGAAACACAATATTATTAGCCAATGTTTCATTTGTAACTACTAAAAACACTATCATAGCAAAAAATAACAGAAAAACCATTATGGTCCACAACATATAGATAGAAGAGAGATAATTCTTTTTGAAAATTGCACTTGTTGATAAAAGAACAATTACTATAATATATAAAATTTAATAAAATTAACTAACAAATTAATTATTTTAACATAAAATTTATTTAATTAATCAATTAAACTAACACCATCTTTTAAATATGGTAAAACCAATTAAATTATTTAAATACAAACAATTACACTTAATTTAATAACCAACTAAATAAAAATTATTAAACACATAATTAATTAAAATTACTCTTAAAAAATTTATTTTAAACATAAATTATTAAATTTTCTTATTGAGTAATTGACTTAATCAATAAGTAAATAAACTTAATTAACAAACAAATAAATTAAAGTAATAAATAATAATATATTTTACACAA